TGGTCAATTGACTCCAGGAAACCGCATATTTCAAATGCCACTGGTCTAGAAGTTTGCACTTATCATGTTCAGAAAGCTGCTCTTGCAAATTCAGCATCGCTTTTCTCGGTACATTTTGGAAGGATCGAGCTGAGCACACGCGAGGGTATAAAGACATATCTCGTCGATCAGATGTCGGAGCTGCGAAATTCAATGGTTTGTCTTCAGTTAAGGCTCGAAGTCAGACGCGGCTGACTGCTGCCTGCCTTGTCTCGTTCTGTAGCTCTAACCGCCGGGTTAAAATAGTCATTGCGAAAAATAACGCTTTAAACAGCTCGAGACGGCGAAAACAGATGAAAGATGACTAAGTTAGCATTTCGCTTGAACTTCCTTAGAAATTGTCGCTTCAAATCTGTATTTTCGAGTGAATTGTAGCCGCCGCAATGTCCATCTGTATTTCGTCTATTTTATCAAGACCGATGCTCAGCTTTCAATGACAAAAACGGCCACACAAACAGAGGGTGGTCTGCCTGTCCTAGCGTAACAGACAACGGCCTAGAAATGGGATCTTGGCACAATGTAACACCGTGTAACACCATTTAACACCGTGTAACACCCTCTAACACCGTGTAACACCCTGTAACACCGTGTAACACCATGAAACACCGTGTGACACCCTGTAAAACTGCGTAACACCCTCTAACACCGTGTAACACCCTCTAACAACGTGTAGCACCATGAAACACCGTGTGACACCCCGTAAAACCGTGTAACACCATGTCGCACCGTGTAACACTATGGAAAACCGTGTAACACCCTGTAAAGCCGTGTAACACCCTGAAAAACCTTTATAACACCTTGAAACACCGTGAAGCACCCTGTTACACCGTGCAAAACCATGAAACACCTTGTTACACCCTGTAAAACCGTATAACGCCTTGTAAAACCGTGTAACACCGTGTAATACCATGAAACACCCTGCAAAACGGTGTAACACCATGATACACCGTGTAACACCCTGCAACACTGTGTGGCATCCTCTTAAACCGCGTAACACACTGTAACACCGTCTAACACCCTGTTAAACCGTGTAACACTCTGTAACACCCTGTAACACCATGATACACCGTGTAACACCCTCTAACAACATGTAGCACTATGAAACACCGTGTAACACCATTTAGCACCCTGTAACACTATGAAACACCGTGTAACATCCTCTAACACCGTGTAACACCATGAAACACCGTGTGACACCATGAAACACCGTGTAACACCATGTAAAACCGTGTAGCACCCTGTTAAAGCGTGTAACACCCTGTAACACCGTCTGAACACCATGAAACACTGTGTAACACCCGTAACAACGTGTATCACTGTGTAGCACCTTGAAACACCGTTAAGCACCCTGTAAAACCGTGTAACCAGGGCCGTATTCAGACTTCAGAACAAGACGAGGCAAGTTTCGAGCGCCGAGTGCACGAGCCGCCATGGGGGTCTGGGGGCATGCCCCGCCAGAAACTTTTGAAATCTAGAGGCTCAGAAATGCTCTTGTAAGCATTTACCGTTGCATTTTTCTTCAGAAAAGTCAATCTTGGGCAAGTGTAGAAGTTCACTTTTTTATTGTTTAGCGATACTGGTGCCAAGTTTATGACCATCTGCATTTTAAAGCATTTGAAAAACCGCTACTACCAGTTCACATGAAACGAATTAACCTCATTAAAATGCTTTTCCCCTCAAATCATCCACCTTATATAAGCTGGTTTTATCTTAACCAATCCAATTTTTTTCTAGGGGTTATTTTCTCAATTAAACGTTTCTTCAAAAAAAAAAAAAGGCCAAAATCGAGACAAGGAACCTGCCTCGTCTTGCCTTATGCTAGCTACGGTTCTGGTAACACCATGAAACACCGTGAAGCCCCCTGTAACACCATGAAACACGGTGTAACACCCTGTAACACCGTGTAACACTTTGTAAAACCGTGTAACACCCTGTAACAACGTGTACCACCATAAAACACCGTGTAACACCTCGCAACAACGTCTATATATCACCGCGTAACACCTTGAAACACAGTGAAGCACCCTGTAAAACCGTGTAACACCATGAAACACGGTGTACCACAATGTAACACCGTGTAACACCCTGTAACAATGTGTAGCACCATGAAACACCGTAAAAGACCTAAAACAACCCGTAACAACGTGTATCTACCCGTGCAACACCTTAAAACACCGTGATGCACCCCTTAACACCGTACAACACCATGAAACACCCTGTAACATCATGTAACACCCTGTAACACCATGTAACACCCTGTAACACTATTTAACACCGTGTAACACCATGTAACACCCTGTAACACCTTGTAAGATCGTCTACCACCATAAAACACCGTGTAACACCGTAAAGCACCCTGTAACACCATAAAACACGGTGTAACACCCTGTAACAACGTCTAGCACCATAAAACACCGTGTACCCTCTAACACCGTGCAACACCATGAAACACCCTGTAACATCATGTAACACCATGTAACACCCTGTAACACTATGTAACTCCGTGTAACACCATGTAACACCCTGTAACACCTTGTAAGATCGTGTAACACCATGAAACACCGTGTAACACCATCTAACACCCTATAGCAGCATGTAACACCGCGTAACACCATGTAACACCATGTAACACCCCGTAACACCTTGTAAGATCGTGTAACACCATGAAACACCGTGGAACACCATGTAACACCGTGGAACACCATGTAACACCCTGTAACACCTTTTAAGATTGTGTAACACCATGAAACACCGTCTAACACCATGTAACACCCTATAGCAGCATGTAACACCGTGTAACACCATGTAACACCCTGTAAGACTATGCAACACCGTGTAACACCATAAAACACCGTGTAACACCCCGTAACAACGTGTATCTGTCCGTGTAACACCTTGAAACCCCGTGAAGCACCCTGTAAAACCGAATACCACCCTGCAACACCGTGTAACACCCTAAAACACCATAAAGCACCCTGTAACACCATAAAACACGGTGTACCACCCTGTAACAACATGTAGCACGATAAAAAACACCGTGTGACACCCTGTAACAACGTGTAGCAACATGAAACACCGTGTAACACCCCGTAACAACGTGTATCTAGCACCTTGTAAAACCGTGTATCACCTTGTAAGATCGTGTGATACCATCAAAGACCGTGTAACACCGTGTAACACCCTCTAACACCATGTAACAGCATGTAACACCGTGTAACACCATGTAACACCGTGTAACACCCTGTAACACCATGAAACACCTTGTAACACCATTTAAGACCGTATCACATCATGTAACACCTTGTAACACTATGTAACACCGTGTAACACCATGTAAAACCCTCTAACACCCTGTAACCCAGTGTAACACCATGAAACACCGTAAAGCACCTTATAAAACCGTTTAACACCTTGTAAGTTCATGTAACACCATGAAAGACCGTGCAACACCCTCTAACACCATGTAACAGCATGTAACATCGTGTAACATCACATAACACCATGTAACACCATGAAACACCGTAAAACCATTGTAACACCATGAAACAGCATGTAACACCATACATGTAACACCGTGTAACACAATGTAACACCTTGTAATACTATGTAACACCGTGTAACACCATGTAACACCTTGTAACAATGTGTAACACCATTTAAGACCATGTAACACCGTGTAACACCATGTAACACCTTGTAAGACTATGTAACACAGTGTAACACCATGAAACACCGTGAAGCACCCTGTAAAACCGTGTAACTCCTTGTAAGATCGTGTAACACCATGAAACACCGTGTAACACCCTGTAACACCATGTAACAGCATGTAATACCGTGTAAAACCCTGTACCACCATGTAACACCCTGTAACCTAACATATTACGTAACACTCTGTAACACCATGAAACGGCGTAAAACCATTGTAACACCTTGTAAGAACGTGTAACACCATGTAACACCCTGCAGGATCATTTAACACTATGAAACACCGTGTAACACCCTGTAACACCGTGTAACAACCCGTAACACCATGTAACACCGTGTAACATTATGCAACACCGTGTAACACCCTTTAACACCATTTAACACTCTGTAACATTATGCAACACCATGTATCACCCTGTAACACCAAGTAACACTGTGTAACTTTATGTAACACCGTCTAACACTATGTAACACCTTGTAACAGCGTGTAACAGCACGTAACACCCTGTAACATTATGTACCACCCTGTAACACCATGTAAGAGTGTGTAACACCATGTAACACCGTGTAACATTATGCAACACCATGTAACTCCATGTAACACCCTGTAACATTATATAACATCATGTAACAATGTGTAACACCATGTAACACCGTGTAACATTATGTAACACCGTGTAACACCATGTAACTCCGTGTAACACCGTGTAACGCCATGTAACACCCTGTAACATTATGTAACACCATGTAACACCGTGTACCACCCTGTAACAACACCCTGTAACACCATGTAACACCCTTTAATACCATGGGACACCCTGTAACACCATGTAACACCGTGTAACACGCTTTAAGACCATGTAAAACCCTGTAACACCATGTAACATCGTGTTACAGGGTGTTACATGGTGTTACAGGGTGTTACACGGTTTTACATGGTGTTTCACGGTGTTATATGGTGTAGCCTGTTCCAGGCTCCGAGATGGTGGTGGAATGGAAAGTCGTTCAGTAATAAGAAAGGCGAAAAACGAGCGGGGGTTGGGGAGAGACAGGGCGGCGGAGCCTGTACGCATTTTTTTAACGGCCTGTTCCGGTATATCAGCTCCTGATATACCCTCTGATTGGTCAATTGTGACAGTTAGCATCATCACCTAGTAGCGTGGTCATCTGTTTGTCATCACCAAGATGGCTAACGCGAATCGCGCGTGTGATCTTCATGAATCCGCGTCGTCTTGTGCTTTAGACGAGTGTCTGCGACTTGGCTCGCGGTAAAGATGTTTTCGGTATTATGCCCACCGGTTTCGGCAAAAGTTTAATCTTCCAGCTACAGCTATTCCCACGCTTAGCTAAAGCTGCTCGAACCCTAGAAAAATCTATGATAATAGCCGTTTCGCCGCTGATATCTATAATGCGAGACCAAGTGGAACAACTGAAAAAGCTTGGATTTTCGGCCGCAGCTATTTGGCATCGGTGACGAGGGAGAGGAGGACGAGAGGAAAGCGAGAGAAGGAAAATGCGAAATTGTTTTCGGTAATCCGGAGTCCTGGTTGATCACAAAGTGGCAATAACAAAACAGTCCACCTGGTTAAGCTTATTCCGCTATTACCAAGGGAGAAACTACGCGCTCCAGTCAAAAGACTCACACTATTTTCAGAGAAACACTATCAAGCTGGAGTTTACTAAGTCACAATGCAATTCTCCTTAGTTGATGTAGCTTAAGTTTAAGCTGCACTTCATTCTTATAATTCTGGATCTGTAAATCACTATCCGTGATAATTTAACATTCTGCAAAGAAAACTAACGAGCTGGGCCCAGCGTGATACAACATTGCAGAAAAATATTACATTAATTCACGGACTAAAGAAAATCACTTAGTTAGTCAGATCCAGAAGGCACTTTGGAGAAAATTAAAACCCTTATTCAGCCGCAATAAAAAGCTTTACGCTTCAAATTAGAGGTCAAAGAAAATGCTCTCTCATCGGAGGGCAAATTCCTGCCGACCAGAAACAAACGCCACAGTAAATCGATATTTGTGCCATGACCTCTCAGTGTGAAACAAGCGGCTAAAGTCACATTTGCTCAGTGACAATGTAGAACCTTCCAGAGCATAACCTACCCAACTGAGGAAAAAACTTACCACCCCCTTTTATTGCTATAAACTAGAGCCAAAAAACCGGATGCTCTCACAGGATAACGGATTCGAAGACATAAATTTCCACACATCGCACAAGGAGTTCGCGTCGCGTGCAATGCTCACGCGCGAAACTTGAGAATGATTGTAGCTAACTGAAGTGTTAACAGTTTTGACAGCCGAATCCAGACGTGACAAAAATGGGCGGAAGAGGGTCGTCAAAGAAATGCTAACAGGCTCTCTCTCCCATTTTTCCCGCCGCCACCGCCCCCTTTCCCAAGTCGTGCGCGTCTTATTTTCGCTTTGCTCGTTTTAATACGTTTCCACTATACTATCTGAGGGCCTGGCACAGGCCATATATGGTGTTACATGGTGTTACAGTGTGTTACATGGTGTCACATCGTGTTACAGGGTGTTACATAGCAATACGGTTTTACATAGTGTTACACGGTGTTTCATTGTGTTGCATGGTGTTACAGGGTGTTACATGGTGTTACGTGGTGTTACATGGTGTTACACGGTGTTACATTAAACCGTATAACCCGTAACAACGTGTAGCACCATGAAACACCGTGTAACACGCGGTAACACCGTGCAACCCGATGAAACAACGTGTAACAGCCTGTAACACCATGAAACAGCAGAGTATTTAGAATTTGACTATACTAACGTATAGTCCTGAATTTCTCACCACGGATGGCATGCTGCAGCCTTTTTTTGAAAAGTTGCAATAATTTACTAAGAAGGAAAAAGTTTCCTTCCAGTACCCCCTAAAATCATTATATGCAAGCGCATCGGAAGTGAAAATGCTTTCCCTTAGCAACGCGCGAAAGATAGGTCATGGGGCCCTGAAGCCAGGCTCTGAATTTGCGTGAAATGCAATTTGCTCTCTTCTTAAGATTCTTTAAGGTATTCACTGAATACGCGAAAAAGTTTTCTCGTAGAAAACGATTCCTTTCTCTTTACATTCTCAAACAATAAAATGTTATTGGTTTTTGCTGAAGAAACAAGTCACTTGTTCAGAGTAAGATTAGGGGGTAATTCCGTCGTTTTCATATTTTTTTTAGCGTGCCTTCGAATCCTTGTGTAGCAGTACGCATTTGTACGGGAGGAGACTGGTACTCGAATGGGCTGAGGATGAGGACAGTGTAGATGCTCTTAGAAAGAGAACCGCTGAACACTTTCATGGAAGTATCCTTTTTTAACAAAAATATAAAAAATAATGTTATAATGATAATAATAGTAATAGTAATAATAATATTACGAACAATGATAATAATAATAATAATGATAACAATAATAATAATGATAATAACACATAAAGACAGTGAGTTGATCTACAGTATCTGCATTCTATACGTTCGGTACCCAACGCACAAAAGACGAAACGGAGAACGTGCCTGTATAAAATATACGTAGAAACCGTAGAAGGGTGAGGGGTGTCGCGAGCGCCGGAATTTAAGGCACTCAGAAACGGGGAAAGATCTTGAACAAGTAGGAACAGCTTACATCCCTTACATTGGTTTTCTCGCCCGCAGTTAGTGCAAGGAAAGCGGTAACCGTTCGAGATGTTTTAAAAACCGCTGAGAAAATGGGCTAAGAGTGCTCTTTCTAGGTGTGTATCTGAAAGATTCAGAGGGGGAGGGGGAGGGACACTTGCCAACTCTATAGATTCTATTTATTTTCTATACAATGATGTGAATGCTCTGCGAGGGGTGATTGGTCTTTGGCCATGATCTATTACAGTTCAGATACGTGGATGACGTCATCAAAAACTTTTTTTTCACTCTTTTGTTCAATATGGCGCGCGCTTTTAAAAATGTTTTAGAGATTATTTCGGATTAAAGCAAGTGAAAGCCTCGAAAAATGTGTAGCAGGAGCTATTTACAAAGAAGAAAAATGGAGAAACGCAGACTATAACAGCTCTTGACTACTTGAGAATGCCTAAACTACAAGAAACCTTCACAACAGTTGCCATTGTGTGTCATCGTTACGAGAGACTCGCTGTTTTGCAAAATGTTTTCGCCATTATTCTGCTTTGAGCAAGAAAAGAAATTGAAAAACGTTGCGAAGAAACTGTATACAAGTAAGATAAAGAAAAAAAGAAGAAGCAGAGACGAAAAGTAGCACTTGGGACTTAAAAAATACCTAAACTAGCCCAAATCCTCGAACAGTCAAGCGGTATGAGGCAAGTATGTGTATCGTCTTTATTCTTTTCTGATCATTGTATAAAACAAATAGATTCCATGTTGCCGTTGGTCTGTTCAGTAATAGATCACAGAGAACGTCAAAATGTGGTAAAAACATCAGTGACACACTCGCCTGCGGCTTGTGTTGCACTTGTTTTTACCACATTTAGACGTCATCTATGATTTATTGCTGAACAGACGCTCGTCAACATGGAATCTATTTGTTAAACTGAGAATTACTTTAAAATAACACGAAATTGATTTTACCCAACAAAGGTGCGGGTGGTGCCTCCCCCCCCCTCCCGCCGGCCAATCCATAAATCCACCCATGCGTTCTAAAGTCGGTTCTTCCACCTTCTTTTGCTCTATCTCAGTGCTGATCATGTGATTTGAATATCTAGACATGTAAGAATTAGCGAGAAATACATGTTGTAAAAAAGTCAAAATAGCCTTCACTATCATTCAGCCCCAAAAACAGCAAAGAAGAAGAAAGACTTGCTGGATGATTTACTGGACTCCGAAATGCAGGAATGAAGATCATCGTCACAACAACGAATTGAAGGAAGGCAAGTTTAACTTCCTGAAATTACGAATATGAGGACATTTTCTGGTGCGAAACACGTCACGTTAGGTTGAAAAGTGGATGCTCAACTACAAAGAATGTATAGTTGTTTCGTCAACAAGAGCAATAGATAGTTACTCAAAATTGTCTGACAGTGCCTGGGCCATAGTACGCTGAAGGCGAGGTGAATAAAATGCCATCTTTTTAAGCATCTTGACGCTGTGGTAACGAACTGTTGTTTCTTGTTGCGGCATTACACTTCACTCTTCATCGTCACCCACACTGTTTTTTCTAGATTGTTTTAATCCTGTATTTCGTCGTCATTTTTTTTTCGCAAATGCGCCGTATCCGAACAACGCATTAGCACCTAGGATTAAATTCTACAGGTGGATAGAGAGAGTCACAAGTTTTAGTTAAAAAGGAACGAAAATCAAGAGATGCTTTTGTCCCCTCATGTTATCCCCGTCTAGATTCTTGAAACAAATTCGTCTTAAAATGGTCATAGAATACCGTTCTAGAAGAAATATGATAATCTACTTTAGTAATTTTTTAAACCAAAAACTGCGTTTAAACTTGTCAACAAATTTGCCTCACACCTTCAAAGCTGCAATCAATCCATTTTAATCCTGAACGACTTCAGTAGCCAAATACATTTTCGTACAAAGAGGTTTCAATATCTATTTAAAAAAAGGTTAAAAACAAATAGAAAACAATTTCCCATTTCCGGAGTCCAACCCGGGCCGACTAGGTGAAAACCAGGAATCCTAATCGCTACACCATATTGGATTTTGTTGTATGCGTTATTTGTAAAAGTATGATAATACTGGAAAGTACATTATTTGTATCAAATTTTCTTCTTCTTCAAACTGAACTTTACCTGTGTTTCCCCATAGGAGAGTGCTTCCCTGCACACTCATTCCGCGCGTCACTCAGGGTCAGCTTTTTTCACCCTTTACCGGAACTCATAAAAATGAACAGTCCAGAAATGCTTTAAAAAAAGTGAACAAAAAATGTTTCGCGCATCTTCTAAGCTGCAATTTATTTGACCCGGGACCAGTTTATAAGCCAGACCACCTTTTTCGTTTTCAGGTTTCAGTGTATAAAGAAATCGTTAAAAAAAGGAAAACGTTTTCCCATACCGGGAGTCGAACCCGGGCCGCCTGGGTGAAAACCAGGAATCCTAACCGCTAGACCATATGGGAATTTGTTGTATGCGTTGTTTGTAAGAATATGTGAATACATATTTTTATATATATATATTTCATTTGGCGTACAAGAAACAGACGCAGGTTGCCCAAGTGAAAACAAGAATGTCTGGCCATTAGACCTTATGGAAGTTTTTAAACTAGCATTTTACACTATCTTTATGTAGAATTGCAGAATTTAAACAGCTTTCGTCCTTTTTTGTTTTAGTGCCGCCACTTTTGTGAATTGGGGAATTTCTTTTCAGTTCTCATCCACTCTGCTTAAAATTGCCTCTGCTATGAGCGAAAAGAAAGTATTGTTGACCATGTTTCTTGATCGTCATACTTGAAAGCAAACTCGTGAAATGCTGAGATTATATCAAAAATAAAATGCAAACTAGCGATTGTCTTTGAAAAATTATATTGAAATTAATGAAGTATTTTAATTAGTTATCTTTACCATTATCATTATCATCACCATTGTCATTATTATTATTTATATTATTATTATTATTATTATTATTATTATTATTAAAAATAATAGTAAAAACCACAATCGTTTTTCCCATACCGGGAGTCGAACCCGGGCCGCCTGGGTGAAAACCAGGAATCCTAACCGCTAGACCATATGGGATTTCGATAAGTGATTTTCCTGTGCTCATTAGTAGCACATGCAGTTCTCCAATTTCATTGACGTAGCGGGACAGCAACCTCGAACTCAGGCCTTTTTCCTGAGGACTGAGAAGGAAAGGTGCTTGTGATGGTGTGTAAGAGTTTCATTTGTTTTCACGATTTTCACATAGACCATAATACACCTTGTTAACCCCCCGCGCGCCCCCCTCCCCCCCTTCCACCTGTCGTTTGGAACGACTGTAATACAGCGGTTAGAATTCCTGGTTGACTCACACATAATTATGAAGGAAAGGAGTTTATCCAGGTGGGTGGAGGAATATTTACATGAATTGATGGCAGAAAAATATTTTCCTGTTTAATCATGAAAGAGAAAATGGGGATAACACAGGTATCCTCTTCAAGCAAGAATTTGACGAGGATTTCGTGTTTCATATGCTATTTAGAATCCTAATTTGACGCTTCAAGAAAGGACTTACAGCAGCATTTACGTTTATGAGAATAGGCTGTTAAAGGGACAGTTTCACGGTTAAGCGCATGCTCATTAATTAAATCACTTCTTTCCAATTTATTATTAATTCTATCCGTTAATAATCCCACTCATATGTATCTCAGCGATCTCAGAGTGTATTTCAAAGTAGAATTGTATTCAGAGTAACCTGAAGCAGGATGAAGGAGTACTAAAATCGCCGAAAAAAAATCGTGGATTATGCCAACACTAACAACGTTGAATTTATTGTTGACCAGATGGTTTTATTCCATGGTTGATTAATTTACAGCTAATTGCAAATATTTAAGTTGATCAAGTGCAAGTGACTGCCAGGGGAGAGTACAGATTGGTTCTTTGACAACATCATGACATGATCATATTGCTTGCATAGACAATACAACATGTCACAGCAGAAAAACAGCATTTTGATAAATGAGCATTCGCTGAGCCATGAACCTGCCCCTTTAATATTGGTGTCAGTCTTAGGCGTGGTAAATTCCCGTCGTAAGGGTTTCAATTTGAGCCTTACAGGCGTTATGTTGTTCATTAAGCTGTTTATAACAACAACAACAACAACAACAACAACAAAAACAACAAAACTTTATTAATAAACAAATAAATTACAGAAGTATTGCCCGCAGCTAGCAAGGCTATTCGAGGAGGGACAATGCGTGCAAAAGACTAAGGCTGTTAACTAAGGAAAGTTTACAGTAAATGAAATTAAAATCGTCATATGGATGAGGACTAGATAACAGACTAAAGAAAAACAGAATTACACAAATAAATTGTAAAAGTAGAAACTAATAAGCAAGAATTTATTTTTCGACATGTTTGGCTAATCGAACTTTTTAATCAGGGTGGGCGTATCAATATAGTCATCTTCTGAATTCAGAATATCAAAAAGCAATTTGCGGAGTGTTTTTTTGGACTTATTCTTGGTAAGATGTCGGATGTGACAGGGTTTCTCATTCCACAGCTTAGCCCCAAAGCGAGAGAAAGAGCGTTTATATAATTCCAGATCGGAACTATTTAATTGGCATCCACTCTAAGTAGAATTATAGCTCACACTACAAGTGGCTTGTCCAAACATCTCAGCGTCCCGCGCCTGCGATCAAGCAAGCGCGATTTCAGCTGCTGTCTTGGTTCTTGT